AACTTTCATTTTTCTTTACGTATTTTGAATACATTTTTTTAATGACACTCTTATTATTTTTCTAGTATAACATTTGTATTTCTTAGGAGTACACGTTATTTATAAAATAGCCTTATTAGGACCTTTTTTCATACTTTGCCTAGATAGCATTTGGCATTCTATAGAATGCCTAGGAATTCTATACAATGCCTAGGCAAAGTATGTAATAATTCTCCTATTTCATACTTTGCCTAAAAACGTCAGGCATTCTATAGAATGCCGGCATTTCATACTCTCTTTGCCGCTAACATATATATAGCTAGATTTCTATAGAGCCTGAATTAGGATTTTTGAAAAACACCACATTATTTTCAGTTACTTTCAATTAAAAAACTATATCCTGTGTTTTTTTTTATAAAAATTTCTCTACTGTGACATTTTAAAACATGAATAAATTTTCATTTCTGAATAATATATTTCTATATTCTTAATTCAGGCTCTGTAGTGAAATCTTAGCTATATACAGTCAAACCCTTATACAACGAACCTCTACTTTGGCAACTCTTTCCCGGAACCAAGAACATTTTACTGTTTTCATAGTACAATAATCTCCAAATAAGGAAGTGAATTTTCTATATTATAATAAGGTGACCAGTTTTCTCTTACAATGAAAAGGAGGACGCGCGCGAAAAATTTAAGAAAAATTTACAACGTAAATATATGAAATTTTATTAATTCAAATAAAAAATGTGATAATTAGCTTGCATTCTTTTTAATTATTTACTTTAACGAGTATTTTCTCATTGAATATTCCTTTTTTTTTATTATCAATATATCATTTTCTGATACATCGGAAATTTCGGAGCAAAAAACACCCTTTATACTGAGCTTTACGGTAAGTGCTATAGCTAAATTATCAATATTCAATCTTAATTTCTCGTTTGTCCAAAAATCATTATCAACTGAAAAAAAACTCTTTCGATTTCTGCATTTATTCCAGGTAATCACAACGTAAATTCAACAAGAATAACTAAATTATTAAATAGAAAGTGTTCATTTTTGAAATGGGTCAGTATTTCCGCCCCTCTTTTATCAATTTCAGCATGCTTATTTACCAATTGTTCCGATTTATTACAATTTAAATATATACTCTGTCTTCTAATTTATTCAAACAGACAATTGTCGTTGATTTTAATATCAGGCTTAATAATTCAGGCTTAATATTTTAATATTTTCTTTCGATAAAAACTCAACACAATTTTCTACATCTGCCCAATTTACTTGCGATGAAGTCAAAAAAACACCATTGAAAAATGTTATTTCCTGTGATATTTGTGTCAGACCATTCCTCCACATATTGGAAACATGTTGGGTTCATCTCTGAATAGAGATTAACAGATCAGTTTTAAAATATTGAAAAGGAGGACAAGCAGGATGACACTTTTCGAAAAAGGACAGAACCTATAAAAAAAGGGACTGTTCTCCCTAAAGGAGGACGGTTGGTAACCTTATATTTAACGAACTTTTTCTCTTCTGATTCGACTTTTTTCTCCCTATTTTTAAAGTGGTTTCCGGGCATTTTTCAAATTATTCTATCTTTTAGAATATTTTATGGTGATCAATAGCCTTGTACTAGTTTTTCCAGGTGCCTACCTCATCTAATTCAATGAAATTGCCGTAATTTCTTAAACAAGAAACTGAAGAAAAATAACAGAAATTATCAGTAATTATACTAAAGGACGCATGTGGTAAAGTATGCTTAAAATTACTGGTTATACAATAATATTTGTCCAAAATTACTTGTAGGTTCAAAATTACAAAATGTCGTTAAAAGTTCATTAATTTTAATATAAAATTATTTTTAATGTAGAAAATACAGTCTATTCCTGGGTAATGTTTTTTTTTTTTCCTTCTTCTCCCAGAAGAATTTTTTATGGGTAAAATATATGAAGAAAATAGATATTAATTTTCAAAAAAAAATATATGAATAATTACTCTTTTTAAGTTATATATAGTGAGTGCTTTTGAATTTAAATCTTTTTTACGGAGGTCCTAAAGTATATCAAACGATGAACTCGTATTTAACGAATTTTCCATATAACGAATTTTTTTTTCGTGATTTAGCAACTTCGTTAAATAGAGGTTTGACTGTATATGCAAAATATCATTCTAATAGAAGCATTTTTCAAAACCGGAGAATGTTTCAAAAATATGCTTTTTCTTTTTTTTTCCCCATCTTTTGCAAATATTGCATTTAAATAACTTTTTATTATAATAATATTTTTAAAGCAATTTAATTTATATATTCCAATTCAACTAGCACTAAATATCAAACAAATTATTCATCTGCATGCTTTTTCAAAGTCATGGTAACAGTACATTAGTCAATCACCTTAATTTTTAAAAACAAAAACTCTTCTTCTCATTTAACTTCAGGCTTATATTACACCCCCTACTTTACATTCGACCGCTCCAGTGCACCCCACCATTTAATATTGGACTACTCCTCTCGAACAGCATTCAGTCCAAGATCATTATATCCAGGTCAGTCCACTAGGCCAAGCGCAAAGAAAGTGAATATGGATTGGTGTCCAAGTTACCTATTTAATACTTTGAGGGAGTAGGAACTGATTCTCACTGGAGTTATGCGGAAGCTGTGAAAATCGAACGAAATGTGTTCCATTTTGTTTTATGTAGGTGAGGGAGGTCGCCCAAATGTCGAATTCGGGTCATGCGGGGTCGAAAGGGGGTTTCGAAGTGCATTCTTGTTCCGCATGGCTTCAAGGATGGCGGATTGTTACAGAAACATTATGAAGATGATCTGGATAAAAGTTTCAAGGTGACCCACTCGAAAAGGAAAATGGACACCTGCGATCTACATTAGAATGAGCGCGCGGAATAATTGAAATGGAAGGAAAGTGAAAAAATGGTTAATTCTCGTTCTGTGACAAACGGGGTTGGTAGACGAGACAAAAATCATTTCTGGTTTTTTAAATAAAAATGCATTAAAGGGCGTGACTTTTTACTCGCAATGAATAAATTATCGGATGGCCTTATATTCACTTAATGCTTTCTGAGCTCAAAAAGTAATTATTAGTAGAGTTTAACTCACAGTTTTCACCTTCATTTTTACCCACAGAAGAAAAAAAAGAGTTTTACGGGAAAAAAATTATATGTCAGTATATCAGTATATATTTACAAAAAATATAAAGGTACTACTACATAAACCGAAAATAATTATATGCAGAATTTTATTTCCGAATCTCGTAGGAGGCCATCGTAGTCTTGTAGTCATGGTCGTGGACTAGTGGACGGGATGTCAAGAGTTTGAGCCTAGTGCCAGTGAAGAGGTGGGCTGGCCACAGCGGACGTGGTTAGAGCGGACACATTTTTTCCTCTTAGAGTGAGTGAATATCAACGTCGCACCGTTCAGCCACACGAGGACTTTTGGCGACGGACCTCGTAATTTTTAACCATGGCCAAGTGAACGAAGACGGCACCTCTGAGCTGGCACCCCCTCTCCTAACTACCACACCATCAGGAGGACGTTTGAGCTATCGACAGATTTATCGCTCCCCTACACGGCGGTTCTTTAGTGGTACTGGGCTCGAACTCATGACATGCCTGTCATGATGCGATACCTTGACCACTGGGCTACCGCAACCCCAAAAAGAGAATGCCAACGGCACGCGGTGTTGCCAGGTGGTTACCCTCCCAATTACTGACAGCGCCCAATGATGCTTAACTTCGGTCGTCGAACAAGAACCGATGTTTTCAGCATGGTATGGCCGTTGGCTCATCTTAGAACAGATTCGATTATCGAATTACAAGGATAAATACATTTTTGCCAATCAAATTTAATTATTTATATTAAATTGTTAAGATATAGTGCGAATACCTTTTAAACATAGCAAAATGTAATAAAAATAAAAAAAAAAAACTTTCAGAGAAATATTTAAAAATTAATAGTAAATAACAATATAATGAAGGGTATGAACGAATTTCAGGAATTTTGTGGAAAATTGTATTTTAGATTTAAATAAATATATTAGAACAGGTACAATTGTGTCGTAAAATTAATTAGTTTCATTCATGTAAGAGAAAAGCTAAATACTAAAAGTAAAGTATATAAAACAGATACAAGGAAATAAATATTAGTCATTTTCATTGTCAAGTCATTACCATTGTAAATAAATAAAAGTCATTTACCATTGGATTTAGTCCAACTACAAAACTTAAAGATTTTAGAGATTTTTTAAATTGTTTGAGATGTTTCGAATTCTTTTAGGGTGTTTTCAATTCTTATACAATGGTAAATGATATTTATGCCTTTATAATAAAGGTTAGTTAGTATTTATTTACTTGCATTTGCTTTTCTTTTATTTACTTGTATCTTGTATATTTCTAGTATTTATTTTTACTTACATTAATTAAAATAATTAATTTTATGGCAATTGCACCTGTTCTAATATTTGTTTGACTCTAAAATACAGTTTTCCACAAAATTCCTGAAATTCGTTCATACCCTTCATTATATTGTTACATACTATCAATTTTTAAATAATTCTCTGAAAGTTTTTATTTTTATTACATTTCACTATGTTTAAAATGTATTCGCTCTATAATATCTTAACAATTTAATATAAATAATTAAATTTGATTGGCAAAAATGTATTTATCCTAGTAATTCGACAATTGAATCTGTTCTAAGACAGGGCCGCGGTAGCCGAGTGGTCAAGGCCTTGTCACGAGTTCGAGCCCAGTACCACTAAAGAGACCCACCGTGTAGGGGAGCGATGCACGTTAAATCTGTCGAGAG